ATTTTTATTTTAAAAAAATACAAAAAATAAAAAATGTACTTAAATCTAAACCATCCAAATTTAATTTGGTTGGTTCAAATTATTTCTTGGGTGATAAGTACCACCCTTGATGAGCACTGAATGTGCCCCTGGACGAATAGTGTTGTTTGTAAGGAGAAAGAAGGTGACAAGTGTACTTTTTATTATGTGACATGTTTCTTTTAATAATGATACAGAAATTGGTTTCATAGACACCAAGTCCTATATAAGGTTGAAACAAAAAAAAAAAAATAGAACCTAGCATCTGGCAAACCAAGTTTCAATTTGTAGTATCATAGTAAATATTTCTAATAATGTAATATCTTAGTAAATAAAACTTTTCTAATAGTATGATGATCAATTTGCCGTTGAGAGAATTAGAAAGAGGAGAAAAATTAATATTGGGAGAGGTTAATTAAGAATGCTGCAACAACAATGAATATATGAAAGAAAACTAAGTTTCAATAATGCTAACTTTTAATTTACAACATGAAAAAAGAGTGAATATCAGGCCAATTTCTTTTTAGTCTTTTTAGTGCATATTTATAAATTTAAATTCTTTCCACCATGTAATGTTCTGGGAAATATTTTTTTTCCTATAGCACGCAGGTCAAAAGGCCTGGTAGTTTGAGTAACAACTCAATATAATTTTGTATTTTATTTATATATAACTACAATTTTTGTATCAATTTTTCAAATTATTTATATATAAAACAATATATAATATAAGATTTATAACAAGTTCGTTGATAACAAAATTACCATAAGCCATGTTATAACTCCTTCCTTGACGTAGATATCTGTTTATGATAAATACTTCCTTTAGTTTTATTTATAAAAAAAAAATTTAAAAATTTATTTGATCTCATTTATAATTTACGATATAATTTTTTAAATAATATTTAAAAAATATTTTTAAATTATTATTTTATGAAAAAAAATAATATGACATCACTTTTTAAATTTGTTATATAGAAGTATATTTAAAATTTTATATATTTTTATTCTTTTTAATTTTTTTATATTGATATTAATAAAGTTGATAAAAGAGTTATAAAGAAGATAAAAGGATTATAACTCTTTTCTCTATTCGCGTGTTTGTGTGTTTTTGTTTCCACTGTAATTTAATTTTCCAGTCTCCTCTGCAAAGCACTCAAGCGGATTACAGATGGCATAAAATTTTTGGGCGAACATTGTTCAAGAATTCCGAGCACTGTACCTATTTGGCTATATTGACTAATAAGTTAATTTTTTAACAAAAAATATAATAAAATCTAGCAAGTTAGCACTTGTTATAAATCATAGAGAGCATTTCATTTCAAAGTTTCTGTAGTACATAAATTCCAAATATAAAGTAATTTTGGTATAGGGATAGCAGAAAGGAGATTAAATAATATCTATAGTTGCATTTATCATTTATGTGAGGCGTGGAGGTAAAGAGAACATTAAATGACTTTCCAGGTGATCATCGCCATTTGGCATTCCATGAAAAGAGACTGTTACATGCTCCTCAGCTGTACTGTAAGTTTGCTGTCTTCCATCTCCTTTCACCAAACTCTGAAACCAATGAGACTTGTACTCCACAAGTAATGAGGACCCCAAAACTGCCCGGTATGGTTGCCACCGGAATTTCATGTGATCTGAATACCATCACATACCTAAATAGATATTTATATTATATTTCCATGGCTCCACCCTCATTTAATACGTGAGATGCTTTGGGTCTACCTATTTAAACTTCTGGACCTGTGCATCATCTCACCATCTACCTAACCTTTTGGATCTTTCTTTCTGCAGTGCATGATCCTGTACTATGATGGTATTATTATTATTATTATCATTATTATTACTACTATTATTACTATTATTATTATTTTTTAAAAAATAAGGGGTCAAAACAAAAATAATATTTCTTTTCATTCATTAATATTGACGCTGAAAAAAAAAACAAGAAGAAGAAGAGAAATGATTCATGTGTGTGCTATTCCAACTCGTTATATTTCACTGTCATCCCATTTTTTAAAAAACATTTTTGAGCTCAAAAATGGATGGCTCCACTCATTCAATTGACTTTGGCCCCTCTCTGTAGTAACCTGCAACTAATCTCGTGCATCTACTGCATATATCTGCATATTATTATATAAATATGTATGTATGTATGTATATGTTCTATCAACTGCTTCTACTCTTGGAAAGACAGAGCATTTTTCTGATTCTTATATAGCACTGATTTCAAAGTCATCTTAGGTAAAATCTCTGTGGCAAGTTACAACTTCAATCCAATCAATTTCTGTAGTCCAGCAGTTTCAAGTTTGTTCTTGTAATAAATGACATGATATTGTAAACAAATGGGAACTTCATTATATATGACAGAGAAACTTTTCACACAAATACACTGTTGTTCTCTTTGAGGAGAAGGCAAATTAACTGCTACTTATCAATTAGAGAACGCCACATCTCATCTGTGACCAGGCTCCCCTGCTCATGAAGTGAATTCAACTTCAACTAATAATTCACAAGGGATATAATTTAACTGGGCAATTATTTGATGTAAGGAACAAATCCGCCCAATAGCTTGTTTCAATATAGTTTGAGATGCAATACAACGTACCGTGTGGGGTTTGAATGCACATGGGAATCAATCTATATGTCTCTTCCAAGTGCAATCTGATTTTCAACAGGCTTAATAAATGTAACCATTCAAGATTAGATCGTGTTTGATTCATCTTTCGTTTTCCTTAAGGTAACTATAGTTTTCGTGGCATGTTTGTATTATTTATTAAGATAGCGGAGCTAAAGAAGAAAATTAGCGTTTCATCATCTAAGGGTGGCAAATTATTCAAACTTCTTGCAAATTGTCAAACTCGTGTTTGCGTTTGTAGTCCAAAGGAGGGGGAAAACGGAAAAAAGAAAACAACCTTTCGTATGAGAGAAGCTAATCACTAAACTAACATTTGTTTATTGACAGCTCATACACGTATGAATGGTACAATCATGAACGTCATAAGTGATTAAGTGATAATGATGAAGCGAAAACAGAAGCTCCCAAGCATATATCCAACGAAGTGATTCACTTTTCATCATCTTTTGCTTACTTTTTCTGTTTGCACCAGCATGTAGGAAAGTGATACTCATTTACTGAACAATGTCGCAATTTTCATATAAGGTCATTAAAATTTTAAAGCTGAACTCCTCCTTTTGGGTAATAAACTGATAACTTAAATCAAAATTCAGACTTGTAGTAGTCCTTCAGTTTTCATTGATCTGGTAAACAAGTCGTAGCGGTGATTGTACTATAGAATGACCCCTGTTTTAATGTTTGATTGAACAGCAACGTGAAGCATTAAGATCATCTTGGAGAGTCGGAATCGTCTGTTCTGTGATACGTGTAAGAAAGGACATTCATGTCGGCTCATATTATTCAATTCCCCGTATCCAGAAATGGCTTAAAGTCGAGTTTCATGGAACTGATAAGATCCTTCGTTGCTAATTATAATAGAGAGAAGAATAAGTGAGGCTTTACTCTCTAAATTTGGATTGCCCTTCATTCAGGAGATACAACAAAATACATGTTGTATATTGAGCCGTATTGACATTGTTGTCGTTGAGGAAAATCTCTAGTTTCTTCGTGCCAAGAGTCATACGGCTTCCAAGCAGACCGAAGATGCCACGTATAGAGAGTAGAGGTAACCATGCTGGGACCTACTCAATGATAACCCTGAAACCTAGGTTATTCCTTGAACCTGAAAGGTTAATACTGAGAATTAATTCTCAAGCTTGATCGCGCTTTGATGGTCTAAAATGGGTTTCAAAAACTCGTTTTGAGTAATTTACTGAGTGCGAAAAGCTCGAGCTAGAGTTTGCTGGAACTGACCCAGTCCAAATTTTCCCGAGTCAAGAGATGGGTATGTTTTTTGTTCTTGTCGTTTTATAATTTTATCAGGAAGAGATAATTGAGGAACCGCACACTGTGTCAGAAAAAGCGAGGGGGAAGAAAAAAGTAAAAAGTAAAAACCATGAGCAAAGATGAAATGGGTGAACAATGTGAATTTCGTGTCAGAAACCCAAGCCTGAAAGAGAAAGAAGTACTCTGTTTTTATTCTTCGCAAGAAGACAAAGCACAGTCATGCAAGTATGGTAAAGGTAAACAATACCGTCCGGGAAAAAAAAAAAAAAGTGTGATAAACAAGGTAGAGAAGTGGCAGGTGGTGGTAGGGGTACATACAGAGAAACTGAGAAAAGACTAAACTAATAAATGGGATGAGAGGACAGGTTAGTGAAATGAAGTGAAGAAAAAAAAGAAGAGAGCAGGGGACCATAATAGCGTCGTTCTACAGTCATAATCATGCACAAGCACAGTGGGAAAAGATGAATCAAAAGGGGCGAAAAAAAGCCTAACACGGAGAGCCTCGGGGGCTTCACTCGCAAAGTCTGAAGAGGGTGTGTATGGCTTATATCTAAGCCTAAGTAGCTCAGATCCACGCTTTGTTCGCCGGTATTCTAGAAAATCCTCTGGCTTACATACTTTGGAATATTATATATATACATTATAAAATGAAAGAAGTATATAACATTAATGGTGATTTTCTTTCCCTTGATCCCTAGCTAACAGGTTAATGATTATTTTAGAAAATACCATCAACGGAATGGAATATTTTATCAAATCAAATATAAAATACAAAACTGTACAGTAAGTAAAATCATTCATAAGTGTAGTTTACGTCATATGTTTCTTATGCGGGACGAAGGAATCTAATCCGGTCATACAAAGTATGCTCCCCCACTGTTGCACATCTTCGCATTCATCCTCCTTCCATATTATTTTTCTGACCTGAAACGAGGAAAATGCAATGAAAATAAACAAGTGTTTATTGGGGTTTTTTTTTTTTTGGAAGTGTTTATTGGGTTAACATAAGAAAATGGAGTGCATATATATAATAATATTATGGTTGATGAAGGGCAAGGTAAGGGCATTGAAAGCGGAACCATTCGTGTGGGGGTCACTGCTTCCAAATCAGCCCCACGTTTGTCTCTCACTTCCCTCCGCTACTAAAACCCCTCCTCTTCCCTCTTCCTCCTTCTCATTCCCTCAAGCTCCTCCTCTACAATCACATTCTCTCGACTCCAAAGTTGCTATTTTGAACCTCTTGACGCAAAAGGAAAGAAGAAGGAAAAAAGAAATTGGATACCGTTGAGCTGAACCATAGCTTGCTAGCGACTCAGTCACTCTGTCCTCGTCAATATCAATGGCTGAGCTACCCTGCTCAGAGATAGAGACAAGCATTTACACAAACTGGTCCTCACACTCTCCGTCCTCGTCCTCGTCCTCGTCCTCAACATCTGGACTGTCTCCGTCTCAGTCATTGCCAAACTCTGCTTCTGAGCCATTGCCAGCACAACAGAGGAAGCTCAAGCGGGGGCGGGATAGCAGCAACAGCAAGCATCCCGTGTACAGAGGGGTTCGAATGAGGGCGTGGGGTAAGTGGGTGTCGGAAATCCGGGAGCCCAGGAAAAAGAACCGGATCTGGCTCGGCACCTTCGCCACTCCGGAGATGGCGGCGCGTGCCCACGACGTGGCCGCGCTCGCTATCAAAGGCCATTCTGCCATTCTCAACTTCCCGGAACTCGCGGGTTCCCTGCCCCGACCTGCTTCCAACTCCCCCAGAGATGTTCAGGCCGCCGCAGCTAAGGCCGCTGCCATGGAGGTATTCAGTCCTCCGACGAAGTCGCTCTCGTCTTCCTCTTCGTCGTCGTCATTGGCAATGTCCTCCTCCTCCTCTGGCGACCCGTCCACCCCGGAGTTACTGGGCGAGATAGTGGAGCTGCCGCCTCTGGGGAGCAGTTTCGAGTCGCCCGACCCGGGCAACGATTTCGTGTTTTTTGACCCGGTGGATGGGTGGCTCTACCCTCACCCATGGTATCACAGCATTTATGGTGAAAAGGATTGTGGTGGGTTTTTCCTTGCGGATGACACGTTAATGCAAGAAGCAGAGAGTATGGCCCAGTGTGTATTTGAGAGCTCATTGTGGCAAAATTAACATCACCCCCTGGTGCGTGGTCTCTCTCTGTGTCAATCAATCCTATTTTTCCAGGGTTGTCAATGTGAGCCCTTCCCCAATTTTTCTCATGAGGGCTAAACTAAATACGTTTCTTATCTCTCCAGTAGATACTACTCACTTTAATCTGCTCGTGTACTAAGCCACTTCACCCCCACTTAAGCTTCTTTCTTGTTTGTAATATCCTCATTTGTTTGTTCCATTCACCTCACTGTAAAAGTCACAGAATTGGCGTGTTTCTGATTTTGCTGTAGCTCTTGAAGCTTGGGAATACAGCTCATGCTTTTCTTCTTCAACTTTTGTCTGTTTTTTCATTAAATTAATCCCATCAACAAATTCTGGGGCCATTAAAATCAGTAGCAGGATAAAAACACAAGCTAAATCGTCATAGCTGCACACGAAATTCCAAATCTTGATGATAAGATTCAATTAATGCAGCCTAAAGTCGTGAGGGTATAGTTTGATGACTGTCCAAAAGTGGAAGAAGCTTTGAATGAATTGACCAAAGCAATGATGGTACGATTCGTACAGCTAGCTGTAAGTAATCGACAAGCAACGCGGTTTTTTATGCGTCGCACCAAAACAAACGTGTTGAGACAAAACTCAAAGATTTTTACTTTTTTATCTTTTGGGTGGGTGCATGTAAACAAAGATTTTGATCTCTGCTTGTAACGAAAACCGCCTTAATGTCTCATTTCCTGGACGAAAGAAGCTTTGAAATTTCGTTAATAAGCGGTCATCCTTAGATTGCCGAAAAGGTTGAATATATGCTAAAATATAACGTGACAATTACTAATTCTTTTTAATTCGTAAAAATAAAAATAGTCCGATATTTAATGTGATTGAAGCTTCAAGATTTCACTACTGTTAGTAGCAGTAATTATGTAAAAAGAGTCTCCTTTATGCTGGAGGCACAATTGTAGGTTTTACTCTTTCCGTTTAAATTAGATACTTTTTTTAAGATATTATGTTAAACAGCACAAGACATTTTGAGTATTTTAATTATATATAATTAATAATTTTTTTATAAAATGCTGTTAATTAGGGGTATAATTAATAAGAATTTTTAATTAAAATATCCTATTAAATAAAGATAAATATAAAAAGAATATGTAATTTTAAATATCATTACTAACTTATTACGAGATATAAATTAATTAAAAATACCAACATGTTTTACCATAATTAAAAAACTTTAAAATTTATCAACTCTATTAAAAATTTAATAAATTTTTAATTTTTTTATTAATTAAATATATTATGGTTTGAAGGGAATATTTTTTCTTACAAATATTTAATGAAAGATAAATAAAAAAATTTGTAATCATATGACTTATAAGTAAAATACAAAAAATGCTCTTCTCTCGATCTTATAAATAGGATTGGAAGAGCACCTTATTATATGTGCTGAACAGAGGGAGAAGGTAAATTCACATGAAGGGACAAACAAGAACATGTGGATCATCAAAATGCTCCTGAGTTTGACGTTTTCACCTGCCAAAATGAGAAGCTGATAATAATTAAGCCCTACTCTCAGTTGTGTTTGGTATAATGTCATATATATGATTATCTTGACGCATTCACCGCGTTAAATGCAATTGAGTGAATGGTCCAGTATGATGATAATTGATGATAATTGAAATATGACAGTGGCGGTGATCTTGATCTGAAGAATTGTTGCAGATACAGAACACACAGCCCTATCATTCTGGAGAAAGACATGGAATATTATTTAAAACCAATCTGAATTTGTGTTCATCTCTATAAAACCTGTCTCTGTCTAAACCCCACTTCACTAATCTTCCTAGTATATCTGCACAACAATATCTTCTACATAGCTCCTGCGTACGCGGTTTCACAGAAAGGTACATATAATTTAACTACACATTGAGAACAAGAAACGCAATGGTAGGTGGCCACCGTACATGGCACACAGTAATGACTTCTCTCTCAATAATTGACAACAAAGCCTTAAACCCACTTCTTATCGATCTTGTTTCATTCACCATTGCTTCATTCACTTATACAAGTCAAAACTTCATGACCCCATCACATAGCTGTAAGACGTGAGCCAAAGGGCCCATTTCTTTATCTGTTTGCCATGTTTGTCTTCTATTCTAGATTTGGGTCTACTATTTTACTCGTTTTTTATGTGGTTGGAAATGCCAAAGATCTTAATCCTAGCAATCACCTTGGTTTGAAATTAAATTAATCTTCAACAACCCAATTATAAACCTTGCATCCAATACACGCGTACGCGTCATGTATATATATATATATACATACATATATAGTCTGAAAACACGAAACATAAAATGTTGTTTTAATTTCCCTTTTTTCTTTTGTGTATTTGTACGTGAAAGGGAGGAGAAAAAAAAGGCTGGATCCCGGGTACAGAAGTGTGGAGTTTGGCCTTTTGGTATTACCAACAAGTTTTTTTAGTGGTGCTAAGCTTCATTTTCTTGTCAACAGATCAAACATTAACTAGCTTGTCGATGCTTTTTGACCCTATTAGATTGATATCTTATTGGCCCACATGTGCTCTTTAGTTCCGAGGTTGACTTATTATTAATAAAGGGAATTACTTGGGAATCGTAATTAATTAGTCAAGAGTTTGGCCTCGATGAACACACCACATATATATAGTAGGCATTTTTTGTTTGTTATGACTGATATACAACGCTTAGCTTAATTTATCATAAGTTTCAGTGTGAAAAGGACTCGTTCCCACTTAATTAATTAAGACTGTTATTAATGTTGCAAGTGTTGTATCTTCACACTATCATGTGATTACTGAGGAAAATCCCGATGAAGCACTAAGCATGTAATATTGTTTATGATTAAAATTTTCATTTACCTAAGAAAATGCTAATAGCTAGCTGTGATATGACGAATAACTTGGATTCCAAGGTCACGTGCTTCTCTGCATAGCATTGCAGGCGCTTCAAAAGGATCGAGTCAGTGGTCTTGCCTTAACTAGCATTAGCAACAAATTAAAAGAATATAATCTTTATTAAGAAAACCAAAAAAACAAAAAACAAAAGAATTGCTGTAATTATATTCACTATAAGATGCAGGAGACAACAACAGACTGCCTCAATTATTGCTAAGTTCCTAGTTGAAATGCTATAAAGAGATTAGAGAAAATATATTTTCCCACCAAGAGCTATTTCATTCTTTGGCCTTGATCACATTCTAATGAATGTGATGAGTCAATAATGAGGCGTTCTAAAAACTGGGCCTTGGAAGAACGAAGTGTGTTACAAACACAATAATAGAACAGGAGGATAAAATAATAAAATAAATGGTGTGTACAGCTATAGTGATAATGGAGGTCATTTGATATTTTTGGGGGGGTCCCAAGAGTGCAGAGTACTGAGAACCATGTTCCCTAAAAGTTTTTGTCCTTGAAGAAGGATGAAAAAAATTAAAATCTCATTCCATTGGGACAAGTCTTGTATTCCAACGCGGCTGAATCAGAATTCCGGGCAATCTATCTGGCATATAATGCACTATCTCTACTGTAAATAAGTGCCAAAGTCTAGTTTCTAGCTCCAAATTCGGTTTGAAGCTTCAGGCTTTTCTTGAAACCCATATCACTGGTAAATTCTATAGTTTAATTTAGCTATGACAAGTTTCTCTTTTTCTTACCCAGATGGAGCAGATCAAGACGATCACCACAAATGGCTAAGCGTCGAATTATTGAGAGACAAATGAATGAGAGGTGCTCAAGCTTAACAGCCATATCTTTAATTTCTCCAGCAAAATAAGAAGAGAGAAGCAGCTCTACGTGTCTGAGTCTCAAAGTGGTCCAAAAAGTTTTAATCTTTAAATTCTGTGGTGCCCTTCACTGAAGGGGATTCGCGCATATTCAAGCTTCTTGTCTCATTAACTTCCAACGTAACTGGTCGGCTTTGATGGCGAAAGGGACAGTTTTAACTCAAACCAGATGTTGCACGTTTTAACAGCTTTTCAATTCATTTTAACTCAAACCAGTAAACCGTGAATGAGTTTTCCATGGTTAACTAGAGATAAGAATCCAATCCATAGAGCAAACTATATGTGTGTGTGTGTGCAGGAATAATTTATCAGGAAGCGCGTTTAGATATAACATGGCCGGCCACTTCAAAGCTCGAAGAACCCGAAGAGAAGCGACATTTGCATCAGTCTGTATTTGGCAGCCCAGCATTATCAGAGATTCAGAGAGGGAAAGCCATTTCTTCTTTTAAAAAGAGGAGAATCATTGAGACTGTGTGGACGACGATTGTGAAACAATTACATGGTGATCAAATCTTACATCAACCACGTGCCCAGCATGCCAGGACTGTGTTATCATGGTTGTTATTATTATCAAGCACTCAAAAACTGTATATTTAATATATATTTTCCAAATCAGAAGTTTATTTTACATTCAAAAATAAGTTAATGATGTATTTGGATTAAGAGAATTTCGATTTGGATAACACAATATGAAGCCAAATCCATTTCATATCATAATCCCTTAGCAATTTCAAATTCTCAAATTTTAAATTTAGAATTCAAATTCAAATCTATTAATCCAAACATTACTTGAAAATATTAATAACAATTTGCTCGGTATAATTGATTACTAAAAATTGTGCATGAGAGAGAGAATCAAGTCTTAGGTGTTTTTTTTCCCCTTGAATTAAATAAGTAAAATAATAATTTAGAGTCTGGTCAGTTGGGTTGTTTGACCTTCTTTAGATTTGATTAATCACCTACAACCTTAGGCCCTCTTACATAGACTTCAATTTAGAAGGATTGGTATTAGGATTGGTAATGGGAATAAGACTTTAAAATTATGATTGGTATGAGGTAATACTTGTAGATAATACTTATTTTTATTTTATTTTACAATTAAGTATAAATTATGAAAAAACTATACTAATCCTTAAAATTAAAAAAAAAATTGTAACTGATCCTCCTTTACATTCACCTTCTCTATGAGCAACCATGGCATCAAAGAGTATCTTCTTCTTCGACCATGCATGCTCCACACTCCACCACCCCTTCGCTGTGAGATCTAGAGGTATGTGGTTGTGAGATCCAAGAAGGAGAAGGTGGTGGCATTTGATAGGCCTAGAGGTTGATTGTTGCAAGATCGGAGGTGGAGAAGGCAGTTGCATTTGTGAGACTTAGAGGCTAGTGGGTAAGAGATTGGAGAAGAAGGAGAGTGCATCAAAGATGAAGGTGCGACCCCAAACGTGTGCGACAAATCTAAGCAAACTGAAGAAGAAGATGATCAATCTGCGCAAATGCAGCAACGAA